GGTAAGGAATCCTCGCTGGAATGTGTGGCTTCGGTAGTGTTTTTGAAGTTAACCATGGAGTGCTGCCTTTGGCTTGCCTAAATGCATTGGCTGTGAGTTGAATAAGCATTCAACAAACGTTCCACTCGTTGCCTTCCTATGGGGCCCAGACCATGCACAAACAGGAAGTGTGAGGTTGAACTGACAAGCTTGCCAAATGGCCGCTCCAACTTTTTTTTGGTCTGGATGCCACCCCGGCAATTCCGGCCTTGCTTCCTCCTCTGGCTCATGGAGCAAAGTTTATGCTTGGGTTATTTAATGGCCTTCCTGAAATTATTCCACCACTTGTTTTCAAACTGGTTTTTGTTAAACAATAATAATTTACAATTCGATCGCCCCCAACGGATTAAAAACATCCCAGTTTTGATATTAACGTTGGAATGTAGCAAACGACATGCTATTTGATAACCTATTTAACCTGAATACATTTTTATTGCAATGTTTATTTACTCTAACTTTGCTTTTACTGATGTGCGTTTTTATTAAACCCAATTTTATAGCTTTGCTTGCCGGGTAATAAACTAGTTACACTTGTAATAGCTAGCTAAAATATTCTTAAGTGTTTATACCACTATTTAATCAGTTTGAAAATTGGTATAATCGTTCTTGGCCTTTTCCAACTTTGTCAAGTGGCTTCCTAGTCCTGTGGTATTTGCTTGCCTATACCGGAAACCAACACACACTTTCCAAAGTAGGACTTGCACCCAAGTGATACTGTTCCTGCTGTTATGTCCACCTTCCTAATTTTATGCGGGTCGTTGCAATGTGCTTTTGTCATTGTTCAACTTGAACCACTATTGGTGTACATGCAAAGCTTATTTCAGCTGTGTAGGCTTGATACAAGTTTAATTTCACAACTGCTTTCAAAAGATGATTCTTAACGTTCCCTTGACCACCCAATCCCCAGGTGCAGCAAATTTTTCTACTGGAGAAAAGACGAGCGTCTTTTCTCTGGCCAAGAACTGGCTACGCTCCTTCAATGTCAGCGCGATGCAATTGCTGCGCTCAAACCGTGCAGTGAGCGGTTACCACCTGGGCTACCTGGATGAGGAAGTGGAATTGGTGCGCTCGGTGGTGAACAGTCTACTTGACCTTTACCGCCAGGGTCACATCAAACCACGCATCGACTCTACTTGGGCTTTTGAGAAGGTCAGATTTTTATTTTGGATCTGCTACGCAGTTGTGTACAGCTACATGGTGCAAAAAACGTGGCTTGTATTTGGGCTAAAAAACAGAGGGGAATATCAGTTTGCTAGGTAATGAATCGTTACATTACAATTGGCTACCAGAAAAACAATCCAAATGCAACATGGCTGCTGTGATGCCAATTTTATTACTTGAGTGGGAATGTCTAACACCTTAAAGTTTCCAATTTCTCTTTTGTGGCTGCAAGGTAATTGACATCGAATCTTGCTTGAAACAATTCTTAGCTGACAGGAAATGTGTCCAATTGTGACGCAGCTTTATTTGACCCCTCAATGTTTCAATAGCTAATAGTTGAACAGCCTTTTATCTGACTTGTGCTGCTGATTGTAGGTAAAGGATAGTGCTTTGTCATTCCAGCCATTGTAGAGGTAACTGCAATTTTTTAAAGCACCAAAGTAATTGACCAAAAATCCTTTTGCTGGGGAATTCTTTATTTTCTGAAACGTTTAAATGTCAGTTTTATGCCATGCATTTTGATGGTACTAAAGTTAAACTCCAATTTTATTTTTTAAACTCGTGGGTTAGTTGGCACCGTAACAACCTTCAGTTTCCCTTTTGAAACCTACTTTATGCATAACCCTGCATGCAACTGCTTCCCTGCAGGTGGGTGATGCGATGAGGCAAATGCATGAGCGCAAGAACATTGGGAAAGTTATTTTGGTGCCAGAGAAGGATGAACCAGAGGAGGAGCCTGAGAAGGAAGAGCCCAAGAAAGATGCCTCCAAGAAGGAGGATTCCAAGAAAGAAGGGTCCTAAGAAGGATGGATCCAAGAAGGAAGGGTCCAAGAAAGATGATTCTAAGAAAGATGGATCCAAGAAGAATGATACCAAAAAGGAAGGGGCCAAGAAAGATGATGCAAAGGAGGCTGAATCGAAGAAGGAAGAGGAGCTTCAGGATAAATAAGGCGCTGCATCATGTGCAGAGTGGGTTGGTTTTTTCCTCTCGCACTCCCCCATGCCCCCTTCATTTGTCCCTGATGTGGACCAAATTTATGCCTCTGTGAAAAATGCAGGTTGTCAGACTACCAGTGTTTGTGAAAAAGGCATAGGAGTAGTGTTTGGGATTGTTTACAGTATTTGCTCAATGGCTTGCTTTCTCCTTGACCTGTAGATGTAAGACTAGGTTGTTGTTGTTGCATGTCATGTTTATAGGATGTGTTTAACCCCCAAGATGCAGACAGGTTTTATATAATACATTGCACTTGTAATCCTGAACCTGTTTCTAAAAATATCAATTTCAACCAAAATATTGTATTGAAGCTTTATGATGCACTTCATCTCAAATGTGGCATTAGCAGCCCACGACCTTAAAGTGCACCAATCTAACAATGTGAAATTCCCTTGGTGCTGAGACTTGGAGGTAGAGGAGCCCCCCCCCCCCTTTGCCTGGTGGTGCATTTCTCTGCTGCCCCGTAGAGACACGTTTGTCGCCCAGGTAGCCTTTGCCGGTAATGGTGCAAAAACTGGCTTTAACGTCATTTGGATTGCCTTGGATTTTGTACTCTCTTAACATATCCCGCGTGAAGAGTATCTAAATGAAGTCGTGGTGAAAATGGATGACATCTTTAATGTAAAAAAGCCTGAGCATTCCTACTTAAATTGTGCTTTTTGGAGAGGGGTGGGGGGGGGTCTATGCATGTGCCAAACGAGGAATTGGATATTCTAGACCAGTATTGCAATCTTACATCTAATACATCTTTGCCTTACTGACCAGGACCAGTGATGTGCATTTAATTGCCTTAGTCTTTGTGTTGCACTTAATAAATTGCCTTGTGTGTTTGCATAGTGATGTTTCCCGTGGTTTTTGGTATCTGACGTGACCATGTGCATTCCCAATAATTCGTTATTGTGGTTACAAATAAAGTTTCATGAAATTAAGCTGCTTGTGGTGCAATTCTCGTGGGTAACTTCAGCCAGCACATTCGTGAAATGGTAGCCCCTTAATGTGGCTCCCAAGACCCAAAGCACTAGACTAAACCAATATGCATTGAAAATAAGACGTCCTTTCAAAGCTGTCGATACAATAGCTCTGCATGGTGGGCGAGGTTAACACAATGGCAGGATGCCCATAAACTTGAACCGTATCTGCTCAAACTGGCATGTGAGAATGCAATTTCTAACCCTCGAATATAAAATGGGACTTCAATACATATGGATGAGAAACTAGCTTAGCTTTTCCCATTTTAATTAAGGTTTTTTTCTTGCCTTTCATATCTAACACTGCTTGGCCTCAAGCCAACTTTGACAAAATGCCAAATGCACTTTGCCAACCCAGTAACTTGGGTGAACAGTACCTTTTTTCAATCTTAACTAAAGCCTGCATTCTGGTTTGGACTAATACAAATTGTAATGTACATCCAATGGTGCTTATGTAAGTGACAGGAATGATTCAAGAGCAGAATGGCTCACCAGGCTATACCTTATAAATGAACTTGAATCGGGTTGCTAAAATACTTCGTGTACAAACTGCATTGCCCATATGGGAAGAGGTGGGCATACGTTGTCAAGCCACGCTGAAGGTTCCAGTCGCACCTTGGGTGCCTGAATGCAAGGACTCAAATGTGGCAACAACAGCATTGAACAAGCTGGGCTGGCCCTTATTGCTGCTCCACTTTGTCTCGTGTTGCACCATGGGTTTAAGATGCTCCATGTTAAGCATTTAATGTCGTAAGATTTGGACTGTACAACCAGCGTATAACATTGCATCGTGTTTGCCCTTCCATAAGTGTAATGGCTACAGTATCGTGTTTTTATATGCAATGTCTAGTCATGTAAGTTGCATAATTTCGGAGGTCCAATAGGGAAGTATTGGAGGAATACTACGTGAATAAGTCGGTTTAACACAAGCTTTTGACCAATATCTATAATAGTTTGGGTTTGATCACGTAAATGTGTTTTTAAAACCAGACGGCCAACTAAGGTTTGTCACATGCCAATTCGTCACGGATTGTAAATGTTGCGGCTTAGCTCTCCAACACACCGGTGTGCTGTGCTCGTGACGAATTGGCACGTTCTGTTATGTGACAACCCTTACTAGTTGGTTGTCCGGTGGTGGTGGGTTTTAACGAGCCTTACACGATCTAACCCAACAAAAACTTTAGTAAATAAGTGTTAAACGACATTAACTCAAGGTAGTGAGCAAATAGTGCTCCCTGTTAAAAGTTTGTCTTAAAATAAACCCTTTAGGTATTGGAAGCCATTTATGGGTATTGGAAATCTTTTTGGTGGCTCATTCTTGCGACAAGGGCAATTGGCCAAAGCGTGACCTATTGCCTTCTGTATTCTCATAAGGCCGGAGTGCAAATGCAGAAATAAGATTTGTTTCGATAATTGGTTATTTTACCCTTTTATCTGGCAACAAAACTGACACCTTTTTACAAGGAGTCGTGTTTGCATAGACCAGTTCAATCAACTTCAAGGACAGTGCATACATTATCAGTTATGTTTTTTGTTTGCATTATGACTGCAGGTATTGTGGTCAATGCAAACATGACTCCTTGTAAAAAAGGTGTCCGTTTTGTTGCCAGAAAAAAGGGCAAAAAAAAAACAATTATCATATTTTTTACTGCCAAATGAGGTTCCAATGGTGTAAGATTTGTTTCATTTTGGTAGTTCAGGCTGTGCAGTACCATTTCTAGAGACATTCATCCATTACGATACCCAGCCAGCAGGAAGGTAGAGGGGATGGAAACAGTTTATCATTACCTTACACTGCTAAAATGGGTATTTCCACTTTAAGAAAGTAACCACAGGACTTCAGTTTTCCTTTTATTCAAAAATGCAACATTAAACATTGTCGCTAAACAGCTCGGTGATACAGGCCTAGAGAACACCGTGTAACAATTTTTTTTGTCCCTGGGTAGTGTTTTTCCTAATTGCTTATGCCTCAAATGTATAGAAAATGGTTATTTCCCACAAACTTTGCTTTTGTGACCAGGACATTGATATTTAGAAATGTACCTATTTTCAATGAGTGTGTGCATGTGTCATTCCTCTCAGAGTCCTTGTCACAAAAGCAAAGTTTGTGGGGAATTGCCATTGTCTATACTTTTTAGGCATAAGCAATTGAAATAAACTCCTTTAAAAAAAATGTAAACGGTTTAATTAACAATTTCGTTTAACTCACGGTCGAGAAGTACATCAATGGCACCTGAGACACACGACGCCTGCTTTGTGCGAGCTGATTCCACAGTTTAGGGACCGTGACCTACACAAAAATATATAAGCCGTCCATACTAAAATTGTAATTGCTTTAAAGAAGCAAATTGATGAATTTGTAGTGACTTGTAGCGTCCGTGTACACACACGTGACGTCACTATGCGGGGGAGCGTCACTACCACGCTGGTCTACATACATGAGGTCACCCCATCTGGGGGTGGGAATTACGTCAGGGCCGGTTCAGGGGATCTGGAGGCCGTGGGTGAGGGCCACGTGGGTTGTGACGGCGTGGCACTCGAGTGAACCTGGCTGAACACGTGACCGGATCAAGGTGGGGGCCAGGGGCCACCTTGGGGGCCACGTGGACAGCCGAGGAGCTTCTCGAAGGTGGGCGTGGCCAGGGCGTGGCCCGGACCCACCGAGGCGCATATAAGGCTCCTCCTCACCAGGTTCGAAAGTGCTGTGTCAAGAAAGACGCCTCATGAAGAAGTCAAGTCAGCATGACCAGCGAGTAGCCCTCCTGGCTTGGTCACGCGAGTCGTATGCGAGAATCAGTTAGCGAGTGGTGTGCGTTAGCGAGAATAGGTCGGTGGTCACCACCCTATGTGAAGTGTTACGTTGAGTTAACAATAAAGTGTTGCCTCCCAAAAAGTTGTGTGTGCCTAATTCGAGCCCATTACACATTAATGCCGATTTTGATACGGGCATGTGTTGTCACCGGATCTGAGTACGTGTGCAAAATTTCGAATTGATTGGAACAGGGAGTAGACTAAATTTTGATGGCAAGATTTGACCACGACAAACAGGATTCGAGTTAAATAAAACCATTGAATAAAACCGTTCAAAAATAACACTACTCAGGGACAAAGATTGTGTTAGTGTAATCAGGTGTGAACTCAAACTATACTTTAACAATGGTAAAACTAAGGTCTTGAGTAAACTGGATTCCGAGGGTGTACAACATTAACATGAATAATTACAACAGTACTTACACTATAGAATGTAAATGGTTGGGAAATACGTCAATACCCATGCATGTTTTAACTGGCAGGCCAGCCACCTGTAACTGCCTAACTGGTCAGCCCGTTAATACTTCTCTTGAGCGTGGGCATTGACGTTTGACCAATGACTCATGTCTCTATAAAAACCGAGGAAATGCATATCGAATGCAAAGGATGCCTAATGTGGCGTCTCGGGATTTGCCAGGTTGCCTTGGACTGAAAAGCCACCGCAGACTGCAATTTTACTCATGATGCCCTTCAAGAATGACTGATGGATAATGGGCGAGGTGTAGAGATGTGCACCTGGGTCCAGGAGGTGGTACCCCTCTGAGAATGATGAGCACAATGTCGGAAAGGTTGCCACATTTACTTGAGAGACGTTAGACCAACCGACGGATTATTTTGTAATGGACTGGAAGCTCAAAAAGTGAACGTAAAGTTTTATAACCCGCAACATCCTGCAAACATTTTGCATATGTGTGTGTAAGTATAACTGCAGCCAATTCTAAAAACACTGGCTTTTAGGAATGTAGTCGGAAATCCAGCTGATTGCATTCAACTGTGTAGCGTGTTAGGAAAAATAATGATCAATTTGTGACCCTGGTGATGGCTCCAAGTAGCTTCTCCTGGGAAGAGTGCTCAACCAGTGCACTAAAAAAATGTATACCCATATCCTCTTTTCAACAATACTGGCCAGTGTTTACCCTCTTTTTTCCAACCTGTTGCTACCTTAGGGCAGAAGAGGTGTATATGTTGCCCCTAAAGCAGTGAATACGTATGTTGAACTTCTTTTGCACCTTCATCATCTCTGTTGATTGCAGCGCATATTGAAGTTATCTAAGCAACCGATAGTACTGCAAGTTTCCTCAATGAACTATTTTAATTGGTGGCCTCTTAAAGGACTACACTATTGTTTTCGGTTTAAATTGATGGCGCTCGATATAGTTTTGCAGGGTTATTTGTTATACTTGGTTGAAGCGTAGAGTCTTTTACTGAAATATGTGCGATTATAAACAGCATAGAATGTGCTGTGAATTAATAGTGGCTTATATCGAATAGTGTACATTGTTTAAGAGTGTCTACAATGTTTTTCTTTGATTCTGAATAATAGGTACTATGGGAAGGGTATTTGTATGAAATCTTTCGTGAACGTGAACCCTCGAAGCACAGACGACTTGCTGCAGGAAGCATGCAGTATTCTCAAAGTTTTCAATCTGAAGAGAAAACAGGACATTTCAAATTTCAGAGCATGCTTGCAAGTATTTCTGCTGTGTAGACATTGACCCTGATAAGCATTTGACAAATATTTAGCAGATATAATGATGGGCAAAAGGCTCGTTTTTTATGAAAGTAAGAGAACATCAAACAGGAAAAATAACGACCATGAAATGTATTATACACCTGTTAGAAAACCAGACAATGGTAAATACTGCAATGGCAAAACTTTCAGGACCATGTTTTGTGTATTCTGGAATTTTAGTTCATCGGTTGATAAATTAACAAACCAGCAACATGACCTTTAGCATGCCAATTACATCAACTCGTTTTTTCTGCCATTATTAGTTTTAATCTATATTTAAAAGTTTGGAAATTAACTATTCAAACACACACTATATTTGAACCACAGGGTGTTGTAATCATCAACTATGCCACCGTTATGTACTCCATCTCCTCGGAGCTAAACACTACATTACCCCACTTTTCATTTGAGGCCGTTTGTTTTATCCTGTTTACCAATGATATATTTAAAATAAAAGTGCTACATTGCCATTATTATTATTATCATTAAAGCTCCAGTCACGGTTATGTATGTGTACAATGCTTTAAGTAACAACATAGCAAAATGCAACGCTTGTGAAAATTCTAAAATCACTTGCCTTCGTCATCACTGTCGGGAAACTCCCCCTAGAAAACAGAGGTGACAGATCGAATTAACACATATTTCATATACCAGTGAGAATAATAACGTGTTTTGAAATCGATATTTTTTGTATACTTTACCATTTTCTGAGAATTCTTACGATAAGATGTGTAGCTGCACATAAGAGCAATGATTCTAAGATGGTGTGCACATTTGAGGCGAGGATGAGTGAAGTGTTGGTGCAGAAATTACATCAGACATGTCATTGAATTTTGCCAGGTCATCTCCCGAGTCATCCTCCCAGTCTTTCCAGTTGCCAAAGTCCACGCTCAGCCAACTCAACTGGACATCGACAAGGACATACAGAAAGTCACAAGTAAACCCGTAAAAACAAAGTTTTTCACTATAAATCCTTTATATGCGTGGCATCGGGGCGGCTAGAGTCCTCTCGTCCTCTGGCTTGAGATGGCTGCCACCTATGGGTCAGATGATTGCATGGCAGCATTAAACAATTGGTAATTAAATATTTTTTTTCCCCTAAACAGTGTAAAATTTTGCAATTTTTTTTTCACGAAAATGCATTGTCACGCACAACGAGTCTGTGTGCAAAATGTCAGCTCGATTGGATCACGGGAAGTGGGTTAAAAAACGACCGAAAGATTTGCACGGTCCTAAGCAAGCGAACTTAATATAAAGGATTTAAAAATACATCGTTAAATACATTTTCAATTCATAATCAACGTTTTTGGGTTTAGATCGCGTTTATTTATAAATGTGTCGTAACCCTCCACCACCCGACACGGCCAATCAGTAAAAATGTGTCACGTTGACCCAAAAACGTTGATTATGAATAACATTGGTCGCGAAAGCCTACATGTTAAACTACATTTTCAAAGCAGAAATCTACCATGTGTAACCACCTACGTGTCTTTTACCTTTTGCGGTAACAGCCTTTTCACTTTGTTTTACTTTGTACTTCATTGGCAGTATTTTGATGACATACACAAGCGCCTATTCGCTCAATAAAACGTAAGGTGGTGCTTATATCCATTAGAGGTCGTGAACCAGTGTGTAAAAAGTGAGAACGCATTTCCACGTGGCTTTTGGTAAGATAAACCTGCATGTGTAGAAGTTTAAGTAAACCTTGTTATGACCTGTGTGTTTATCTTATCTTAAAATAAACGTACCGCAGAAATAATCCATTCGCGCAGCAAGTATTAGGCAGATTATTATACTGCAGGCATGACAAGACCGTCAGACTGTCATGCCTACTTGTAGGATAAACAAAACCTTAGTGTTGTTAACATTCCCCTGCTGGTGTGCATTCTCACATGCGGAACCATACCTTAGCCTTATCTTTGGTCAGTCTTGGCCAGGACTTTCCAGAACTCTTTTTTGTAAGGATGCATACCACTGTCCGATCAGTTCTTTTGTGACTCGATTTCTGTCGCAATGGCACAATTATACATTTCAGCAAATTGGACAACATTCTTGGGTGTTTAGCCCAATCAATTCATACAATTAATCAAGAAAATACTAGGTCGCAGTCATTCGATGTTTACACTTACCGAAATCGTAATTTTGTCGTACAGCTCAATTACATTCAGGAAACTTCTGCAATCGCTCCCAAGACAGCTGGAAAATATCAGCAGTTAAAACATGAGTATATTCACTTCCTGCCTCCATACTATTAAGTCAATAACAAATGTACCTTGTCAATTACTATATTACCTTCATGCTATTTATATTTTACAGTAAGGTATATCCAACATAGGGTCAATACAAATTGCACCGTATTTTTATTTACAAAAACTATGTGGGCAACTCTGTATATATTTGAAATGTATTTATTGAGTGAATAATATATAAATGCACTTTAATAAGTGTTAATTATAATTAACACTTCTTTAGCAACACTGCCTGTGCCTGGTCCTCTGGCAGTAATAGAATACACATTTTCACATCTGTAAATCAAGATGCATACACAGGCAAATGTTATTAAAGTTCTTTGTTTGATACCACTCATTGTTACCCAATGGCTGTGAATCAAAATCTGATCTCCAAATTCACAGTGCACTGCACTTTGCCACCACTCTACTCATTAAAGGGAATTCGGTGCATCGAAAGATCCCTACGTGGTCAAATTCCACACGTATCAAATTTGTAAAAATTAGGTTTTACCAGACGAAAACATGAAATGATCTGTAAAGTGATTCATCTCTAGATGGTGGGCTGCACTGTAATGCAAGAGCGGGAGCCTGGCTTCTCACCGCGTACCTGAATGTGATTTTGTCCTCTTCGTAGTTGATATTCACGCGGTTGCTGTCAGCCACACAGAACTCCAGCACCACACAGTCACGTCGATCGTACCACTTGGTCTGTATGGGGATGCTGCAGCTACACACCCAGGTTATACATATATATATACACCACGTACAGGGACTCCTCTACTTACGAACGAGTTAGGTACCAGGTCTGTTTGTAAGTCCAAGCTTACTCATGTCTATTCCAAGCGTGTACGGCATGTACACTAAACACGGGGAATGGCTTTAAAAGTTATACAATCTCCTGTAGATTCCACTGGTTCTTCATGTTCTGCAGATGTAGATGCTACCACCGACATCTATTGCGCGGCAGTTGAACTTACACTCGGTCCGAACAGCCAAGTGGCCATACGGTAACAGGTTTGTTCATGTCTGTGAAAGTTTGTGAGTCGAATGTTCGTAAGCAAAGGGGTCCCTGTACATATGTAATGAGTGACTTCCACGACACGTCGTATAGAGGGTACGTCTTCTTTGTCACACTGGGCACAACACAGGCCAACACTGTTTCTTCCTCTCACTGAATATAACTCTAGGCAATAACACCTCTACTGGCTACACACGCACAGCCGATCACTCAGCGGGGTCCCCTCGCCTTCACTCGTCTCCGCCGATGGCTGGCGGCGTGACGATGATGGAATCCACGCACGAGATCTTCCACATGGCCGGACGACGGAGAGAGATGTCGGTGAACAGCGACACGCCAGAACACAGAACCCACACGAGCTCCGGGTCCGCTCCCCCTTATATCCCCCCAGACGTGGCTAAGCCCCGCCTCTGGCCACGCCCTCTCGTGGAACCTTCCAGCAGGTTCCTGGAGCATCTCGGCTAACCCCTCCTGTTACCTTTGCCCCAGATACGCCTCCTTCCCTGATTGGCTGTTACCTCTGTGGCTGTACCCGTGAAATCCTTCCCAGGCCAGCAGGTGTCACTTTGTCATGTCAGCAGGTGTAACCCTGTCATTACACATTACCACGAGGGTTGCCGATACTATTACGGTAAACATGCCAATGTTGGTATGTGGTTGGAACCGTTGGGTCATCGTTGGCCCAACGTTGGCCCAACGTTGGCACGTTACATGTTTACTGGGATGATAAACGGTTTAAGGCCCACGGTAACGAAACGTTTTCTAGATACATTGACAGCACGGTGGTTTTACGACATCAAAATTTCCAGACAGCATGCAAGCTGGCGATGGGCGTTGTGGATTGTAAAGCCGTAACGATTACCAAGGACTTATGTGCTAGCGGGTTTATTTTAAGTGGCGTGCTGCAGTCGAATTAGGTTTTTACGTCAATGCACATTTGTAATTATTAAGTACCACCACTACGACTACTAGCTACGACATCATAGCACAAACTCCGAGTGTAAATTTGAAATTAAATACAAGTAGAATATGAAGGGGAAACTGATATTATAGTAATTGTCATATCGTGAAAGGCGATATCGTCGCTACATTGATACATTACCAGAAAGAAACTTCCAGATCTTGGCGATATCACGTTTTGCTTCAAGCTTTCTTTTTTGCAAGATTTGTTAATCCACGATAAAAAAAAATCTAACACGATTAGCCATGTTTGTGTCAACTTGTCAATGAGATATTTCAATGTATTTATACTATGGCTGGTACAATGAGAATTATGGTGTTTCATACCAGTTAATTCACAGTCACCGCCATTAGTACATCACACAGTCCATGTACTATTGTATCTATTAAAACTCTTCACTGCAGAATTACTACTAATCTGCAGAATTACAACACAATATGGAGTAGAATATCTGCCAATAAATTACGGCAAGTTAAAATACTGCATACGGTACATGCTTATGAAGGCCAATACACCAGTACTACACACCACACAGTACTGGTTCATCTCTCAGAATCTCTACTTATCACATGGACAAGTATCATTGTACCCAATACTGCAACATTGATCTACATTCTTCCACACAAACACAATTCCCCATTTGGCCTTTTACCAGATTGTTGGGGCAAGTGCTGTTCGCGAGCACCTATGAAGACCGGCACGGGTACGCGTGTGGGTCTGTGGGTGGACAGCGCCACGCCCGGCCGCCTTTGTCTCCCCCCGAGTGATATTTACGCATCGCACCAGGTACTAATTTGAAGGTGGAGGCGACCTCGAGTAAGGTTACCGGTTATCAGATAACTGGATTTCGTTATCGAAAGTTGATCGCGAGCGGGAATCCAACTAGGGTTCGGTGGCCGGGTTCAAAGCAGAGTGCGCTAACCACTGCGCCACCGCTCCCCCTCTGCCACACAGCAGCCGCCGTTCACCACGCCGGCCTGTGCCAGGCTAGGTGCACCTCGGGGCCACCTAGCGAAGTGTGAACGGCGCACACAGTCGGCGTGTTCACGTTTGCAAGGGACAATGGGTTATGGCCCGGTAACGACCACGACCACGACCACACACAGTACGGACCCAGCACTGGCAGTAGACACAACACACAACGCGGACTAACAGCACCAGACAGCAGCAGCAACAACAGCCGTCATTCGTCACTAAGCGGCGGTCACGTCCCCACGGCGCTTGTGCCAGGCTAGGTGCACATTGAGGCTATCACGTGAAGTGTCGAACGCCCGCTGGCAGGGAGGTCACGGGGCAGACCCAGCAGGTGCCACGGGTCGACTGACCGACACGAGTGGCCGATGCACCACCTGTGCCCCCTACTGTGCCAAATTGCTGCGCTTTAGCCACCCGGCGCTCCGCTCGTTGTTGTGAGCGTCGCTCCTCCGCCCTCCGTTGTTGCTGGAGGGCGACTGCCTCCACCTGCCCAGTAGCAGCGTCCTTCACGAGCCTCCTCCACAGAGGCCGATCTTGACACTGCTAGTACCAGTCATCGGCAAGTCCACTCAGCTCCACGTCCTCCTGCACCACATCACTCCATCTCTTCTCTAGCCCGTGCCTCCTGTACCACATGACTCCATCTCTTCTCTAGCCCGTGCCTCCTGTACCACATCACTCCATCTCTTCTCCAGCCCGTGCCTCCTGCACCACGTCACTCCATCTCCTCTCTAGCCCGTGCCTCCTGTACCACATCACTCCATCTCCTCTCTAGCCCGTGCCTCCTGTACCACATCACTCCATCTCTTCTCTAGCCCGTGCCTCCTGTACCACATCACTCCATCTCTTCTCTAGCCCGTGCCTCCTGTACCACATCACTCCATCTCTTCTCTAGCCCGTACCTCCTGTACCACATCACTCTGTCTCTTCTCTAGCCCGTGCCTCCTGTACCACATCACTCCATCTCTTCTCTAGCCCGTGCCTCCTGTACCACATCACTCCATCTCTTCTCTAGCCCGTGCCACCTATACCACATCACTCCATCTCTTCTCTAGCCCGTGCCTCCTGTACCACATCACTCCATCTCCTCTCTAGACCGTGCGTCCTGTACCACATCACTCCATCTCCTCTCTAGCCCGTGCCTCCTGTACCACATCACTCCATCTCCTCTCTAGCCCGTGCCACCTGTACCACATCACTCCATCTCTTCTCTAGCCCGTGCCTCTTGTACCACATCACTCCATCTCTTCTCTAGCCCGTGCCTCCTGTACCACATCACTCCATCTCCTCTCCAGCCCGTGCCACCTGTACCACATCACTCCATCTCTTCTCTAGCCCGTGCCTCCTGTACCACATCACTCCATCTCCTCTCTAGCCCGTGCCTCTTGTACCACATCACTCCATCTTCTCTAGCCCGTGCCTCCTGTACCACATCACTCCATCTCTTCTCTAGCCCGTGCCTTCTGTACCACATCACTCCATCTCTTCTCCAGCCCGTGCCTCCTGTACATCACTCCATCTCTTCTCTAGCCCGTGCCTCCTGTACCACATCACTCCATCTCCTCTCTAGCCCGTGCCTCTTGTACCACATCACTCCATCTCTTCTCTAGCCCGTGCCTTCTGTACCACATCACTCCATCTCTTCTCCAGCCCGTGCCTCCTGTACATCACTCCATCTCTTCTCTAGCCCGTGCCTCCTGTACCACATCACTCCATCTCCTCTCTAGCCCGTGCCTCCTGTACCACATCAATCCATCTCTTCTCTAGCCCGTGCCTCTTGTACCACATCACTCCATCTCTTCTCTAGCCCGTGCCTCCTGTACCACATCGCTCCATCTCTTCTCTAGCCCGTGCCTCCTGTACCACATCACTCCATCTCCTCTCTAGCCCGTGCCACCTGTACCACATCACTCCATCTCCTCTCTAGCCCGTGCCTCTTGTACCACATCACTCCATCTCCTCTCTAGCCCGTGCCTCTTGTACCACATCGCTCCATCTCTTCTCTAGCCCGTGCCTCCTGTACCACATAGCTCCATCTCCCCTCTAGGCCGTTGCCTTCCTGTACCCATCACTCCATCTCCCCTCTAGCCCGTGCCTCCTGTACCACATCACTCCATCTCCTCTCTAGCCCGTGCCACCTGTACCACATCACTCCATCTCTTCTCTAGCCCGTGCCCGTCTAGCCCCCCTCGATCCGGCCGAACAAAAGCTGTCGGATGCACGCGGTGGCTGGGCCATGCGGGCCACATGGCCCAGCCTACAGCGCTAAAGATCGCACACAAACAAACACACGAACACACGACAACATAGACGAACGGGGCCCACCGAGAGGACGCCCCGAGTCTCTGCTCGTCCATTACCTGTCGGATCGATCGTCTCCCTCGCAATCCATGGCCTCGCCGATCACCTCCGAGCGAGCGGGCGTGATGGTGGCGGTGGTGGTCACCTCCGTTGCTGCCATTGACGCCGGTGTTCGTTCGGTGGACGAGGAGGGCCGCGGTTTGTGCTTGAGGCTTCGAGACGAAGGGCGGGTGCGGGTGGAGAGTTGGGGGTGGTGATTGGAGGGGAGAGGCGGTGAGAAAGGGGGGGGGGCAGAGAATTTCCAGAGACTTCGATGGAGAGCGGCCCCTGCTGGTGCTAGACAGCCGCAACGTCGGTGGGGGGGGGGACAGCGACTCCTGCTGGCTCGGAATATTAACAACTTTAACAGCCATAATGAATAATTGTTTTTAAATCCTTTATATTAAGTTCGCGTGCGTGCTTGCTTGCTTGCTTACGACCGTGCAAATCTTTCGGTCGTTTTTTAACCCACTTCCCGTGATCTAATCGAGCTGAAATTTTGCACACAGACTCGTTGTACGTGACAATTTATTTTCGTGAAATTTTTTTCAAAAATTTTACACTGTTTAGGAATTTTTTTAAATTTTTAATTACCAATTGCTTAATGGTGGCAATCATCTGACCCATAGGTGGCAGCCATCTCAAGCCAGAGGACGAGAGGACTCTAGCCGCCACGCATATAAAGGATTTATAGTGAAAAACTTTGTTTTTACGGGTTAATTTTTTTTATCCTTCTATCTGGCAACAAAACTGACACCTTTTTTTACAAGGAGTCATGTTTGCATAGACCACAATACCTGCAGTCATTATGCAAACAAAAAACATAACTCTGATAATGTATGCACTGTCCTTGAAGTTGATTGGTCCACACCCGAGACAGCGCACATGATCAGAGTTGTGTTTTGTTGTTTGCATTATGACTGCAGGTATTGTGGTCTATGCAAACATGATTCCTTGTAAAAAAAGGTGTCAGGAATTCCCCATTTGGCCTATATCACCATATTGGTATCCATTATGATTAGATAATTAAATGAGGATTGCAAACCATAGATAGTTTTAAAAAATTAACATGGACTTGTATGACGGTTGTTTAGCACAGGATAAAAAAGGCCCCAAAAAACCCAACCTTTATTTGGGGAAAGTGGCCACGAACAAACCGTGAAATGCAACCCACGTCGTGGACCATCGTAAATATAAATCCGATGAACTATCAAGCTCTTTTTTTTCCTCCCACGGAGAAACGACACGACTCATCCCCTGGAGTCCGTCACGTCGTGGCGAGCAGACATCGACATTGGCTTCCATCTAGCTACTGAACTTAGTGCTCCTGCCCAGCATACGCAAGAATAGAATGCATAGTGACTAAATGCGACCGAATTGCAGGACTCTGTACATACATATTGGACGTATTTTACTGGTAGGAACCTCTGGTTACACCAGCCCACAGGGGATTATTGTCCGTCCGTCGTGCAGGGAGGGGCTGGGTGAGGAGGGAGGGGCTGGGTGGGGAAGGGAGGTTGGGGCGGGGCTGGGTGGGAGGGGTGCGGCTGGGTGGGGAGGGTGGGGCTGGGTGGGGGGTGGGGCTGGGTGGGGAGGGGCTGGTCACCCCGTGGTGCCCTTATAAAACTCAATGTTTAGCCTACTCACGCCGGCTTGTGCCCGCCCTCAGTCGGGCATAATTGCGGAATGCACCACGCTGCCGTTGACCCTGGCCATTGACCGAGCAACCCAACGTTCCTACCAGCTCCCTCCGCAGGAACGTGTTTGATATGCGAGACGGTCATGCAGGGTGTGTAGCAGGTACTTGAACTTCGGGTGGGGAGTCTACAGCACGGACGGATGAAGGAAATGTTTCCAGGCGACAGGGGCAGCAGAGAATGAGCAACTATCAACTAAAATCTGAAACCAGGGAGGCATGATTAAGTTATATTTACAATAATATTGTAGCGTACTTGAGCACCCTTTGTTAACCCACTACCGGATGAAAGCCTGCCCAGGCTGGCGGGAAATGGTGGGAGTGGGGGCGAGCATACTTCACCACGCTGGTCATTGCGGATTCCTCTAGTATAAATATTCTATCACTCGCCACTGGTACGAAAATAAACAAGTGTGCTGCGTGGTGGGTCGGGCACTGTATATTACACCACAGGCACCACGAATACTAGCACGAGTACTTTATCATCACATGAAATCGTACATTTACGTTCAGGCATATCTAATCATAAAGCCACCAAGTTCCGTTAGCCACCAATGGCCTTGCATTTGAAATACAGCAGTTTTTATTGCGCAAAGCTGTGCACCCAACCGGAATGTATCCAACGATGAAGACAAATCTGGCTGTCGCCTGGTGAAGATAGTTGTAATTACTGGCGAAACGTCGTACTGATTGTAAATGTTGTGGCTTGGCTCTCCAACACACAGGTGTACTGTATTCGTGACAAATTGGCATGTTCTGTTTACGTGACAACCCTGACTAGTTGGCCGTGTCGTAGCGGGTTTTACCGAGACATTTATATATTTACGCGATCTAACCCAAAAACCTCTATGGATATTGGTCGCGAAAGCTGACGTGTTAAGATGAAATGCTTAGAATTTTAAGTCAACATTTATGCACAATTGTGATAATTGGCCGAGCTAAATTCCAGTTCATGTAAATACAATGTCTCAACGGTAGGGCTGCCACCTCTTCGTTGCATTGTAATTCAGTCTTGTTGAGAATAGGTTTTCATTTTTTCTGGCAACAAAACAGGTGTTGAGATTTAATTTGGAGCTTTCGTGACTGCAGGAGTTATTCTTTGGTTCTTTCGGTAAAGTCACGTATAAAGAGAAAATAAATTAAATAGCATACGTTTCGATTGCAACACAACCAATCATCATCAGGTATAAAATAAATTTCATTTATACCCGATTGCTTGTGTTGCAAAAAATGAAATATTTCATTTATACCTGATGATTGCTTGTGTTGCAAATGACTACCAAAAGAACCAAAGAGATTACTCTTTGGTTCTTAAATATACGCTGCCAAGCCTGGTGGTGTTCATTCAGACGCTGTCTTTCTGACAGACCTCATCTTCACCTGAGGACGGCTGCTTGCGTTGTGGCCGAAACGTCATGAGAATTTATTATGTTTCATTTTTATTATTTCCATTCTACGTGACTTTAGCGAAAGAACCAAGAAGACATTTGCAAATTGATTTGTAAACCTTTGTAATGGTTTTCTTCTATGCAATAAAAATGTACATCATAAATTAGCAGCCCATATATACTCCTCAGTTATCTCCTCGGTGTCGTTATCAATCTAGCCGATCTCACCAGTGGTCATCTTATAGTTCATTTGTCCATTTCTCAATCTTGACCATCAACCGTGCCTTGTAGGTGGTCCTGCCCAAGCCAGATCCATTTGAAGTCAATCACTCCTTCATACGTACTCCGATCCGCATTTGCTTGGTGTCGTTCAAACCAATCACCTCTCCACATATCTTCACTTTTCAGATTTGGTTCAATTGTCCATTTACAATCCATGTCATCGCATTGTTTCCAAAAACCCTCACTCACCTAAAATAGTGTAATGAACTGGATAAAACATGACATGGGACACCTTGAAAATGTCAACAAAAAATTACTTTCCATTGTTTAGCTGGTGTCCCATTTTATTGAAGTTGAAACACAGAAGTGATATGTACATAAAACGAGTCGCACAATGTAAATAAATGTGATAATTTTATTTAGATACAGCTCAATGCAAACGGCGCCAAACCTTTCCTGGCATTACTCTACTGTTGTCTTCTCTTGGCAGCAACTACATTGTCAGCTCCTGCAAAAAAAACACATTTGGATATTAAAACAATGTAGAAATAAAGATTTTAAAACTGTCTTATCAAATGCAGTCATATTTTTGAGAACATTGTGTCATCAACTTCACCTTGTTTATTTGGGCTATAAAAATTACTAAGTTATTGTTTAACTCTAAGAAAGCTTTCTGGGGGAAATTTGACAATTGCTATGGTCACTGAAGGTGTTACATACATGTAAAATTTCAACGTAATAAAAAAATACATTCTTCACTGCTTTGTAAATTAATTGTCTTATTTTCAAACTGAACATTGGACAATGTGAGCTTTATTTCACGATAACAGCGATAAAAGTGGGGCAATGCACTTTAGGACACTGCATTAACATACCATGATGGCATTGACTATATCGTTGCTGTTGTTTTTGAGCGCGCGCACAGCCTTGGAGCGAGACACATTGGCTTGGGACATGACAAGCTCAATGTCCTTGGCCTCCACCCCTCCCTCGTCAACCTGCAGCCAGCACAAACATCCATAATACAGGTTTTTTGGGGTTAGATTGCGTAAATATAGGCGTCGTTAAACCAGCCACTACCCGACACAGCCAATTAGTAAGGAATGAGTTGTCATGTAAACAGAACATGCCAATCGTTCCTAGTACAGCACACCGGTGTGTTGTGAGAGCCAAGCCACAAGAAAAATGTAAGAATTTTAATGAAGATGTCACTTTTAAGGCAATCGTCAGTGTAAAATATAAACTAAATGTTGTATTTGCATTGCAGACGTGTGCGTAGTTTGAGGAACAAGCATACCTCATCTTCCTCTTCACTCTCTTCCTGCACTGGCGCTGGCTGCACCCTCTCCTGCACACCTGGTGCAGCCTCCCCTGGCACCTTGAACTTCTCAGCAGCTGCCATCTGCGCCTGCTGTGACAAGTCTTCAATCTGTACGCGGGGGGCGCAGCGTTCAAGGTCAGTGTTGGCAAGTGGCAGCTTATTCAAACGCACAAATACCAACAGTGAGGACAAGGCGTTTGCATTTTAGAACAAGGCGAACAAAAAAAATGATTCTATGGTGAACAATGCCTGCAGATTTGCATGTAAGACAATGATAGTTTATGTTCTCTAGAAAAAACACACGTTTATAAATAACTGCAAATATAATAAGCAGACACACGCATATTATAGAATGTTAACTATTTCACAATAATGATTTTTACATGTAAATAAAACATATATCAAAAACACGCGATTAAAATGTTTTATCACCTTGGCCTCTCCGAAGACAATGTACGTGTCCGAAGCCGGGCTCTTGAAGACATCGGGCTTGGTGATGACAAAAAGGATGTTCTTGGACTTCCGGATGGTGACGCGGGTCACTCCCGCTACTTGCCGCAGACCCAGCTTGGACATGGCCTGCCGTTATCGAAGACAAAGCAGCACCATCGTCGCAATCACTGACAATTGCCTTTTATTTGTAAATGTCGACCAAAAAAACATTCCAATCACAATACAAAAAGCAAAAATCATATTTACCAATCCCTCGGTTGTCTCACAACAGTGTATACGTACAAATGTTAATTGCTTATTATGTAGCTGCTCACCCCGAGCTCTCATTACTCTGATAGTGCGTTGCCTTTGAACTGTGCGCCTTTTGGCGTCATCTAGTGGAACACCATGTGAGACTAGGCTCTAAAGAAAGCTGTCTCTGGTGTGGGCCAATCAGTTTCAAGGACAATGCATAAATTATCAGAGTATTGTTTTTTGTTTGCCTTTGACTGCAAGTATTGTGGTTAATGTAAACATGATTCCTTGCAAAAGGTGTCAGTTTTGTTGCCAGAAAAAAGGGGAAAATCCTATTAGTGCTTATTATGTGTTTATCCACCATTGTCATTTGCAGTTCCTTTGTAACGTGACGCTTCTTTGTTCAAAGACTTTTTTAAAATCCTTTATATTAAGTTTACTTGCCTGCTTGCTTGCGTGCTTACGACCGTGCAAATCTTTCGGTCGTTTTTTAACCCACTTCCCGTGATCCAATCGAGCTGACATTTTGCACACAGACTCGTGCGTGACAATTAATTTTCGTGAAATTTTTTTCCAAAATTTTACACTGTTTAGGGAAATTTTTTAAAATATTTAATTACCAATTGCTTAATGGTGGCAGACAATCATCTGACCCATAGGTGGCAGCCATCTCAAGCCAGAGGACGAGAGGACTCTATAGCCGCCACGCATATAAAGGATTTATAGTGAAAACTTTGTTTTTACGGGTTAATTTTTTAAATGAATCGGTGTCTCCAATGTTACACTGCAAAGCTGTTCTTACCTTGCGAGCTTTCTTCTCGCTGCGGCTCTGCTTGGCTTTGCTGACCATCTCTTCATTGAGCTCTGCAGCAGCTGCAAGCTATACATCACAAAAGAGTGTTTATTGCCTTTCCAGTTGAAAAGCGCATTACTTCATTTTGACTATTCATGACTATTAGCTGTAGCTCATGTGCAAATTATCTACGTGATGAACAAGCCATAAAAACTTCAGTTATACATTATCAACATGTTTTTACAATAATCCACAACCTTGGCAATAATTCAGAGCTTATTTTTTTTACATAAGTTACAAATAAACAATCTCGACATAAACAAAGTTGTATCCCTTTGCAAACAATCACTAACCTGAGCCTGCTGCGACTCTGACTGCAAAGTTTTGTCCGTTCTTTCTTCCAGTTCAGGAATGGAGTCATCGCTGTCCGAGTCTGTCCCAGAGCCTTTAGGGAAACATCGTACCAGAGGTTAGGAAGATGACAGGATACCAAATGGACTCAAAGCCAAACAGTGAAATTAAGTATTAGTGCAAGTGAATAAAAACCACACAAAATGGAAATATTAATAACTCGATGTGCATGTTAACAATCTATATCAACTCTCTAAGCAACTAAAACAGAGGGAAAGCAAACTTTGCTACATCTATGTCAGCTATGTAGACACAAAAAAACAAGCCATGTGGTGATAAAGAACCATTTGCCTTCCACACCAAAATCATGCACAATGTCTTTCAGCCAGCAGCCCAGTTACAGTGCTCGAAAAAGAAAAAAGGAATAGATGTATTATGAACATGTTTGGCTTGAAAAGCACATGGGCATGTTCTAATATGTTAACAAAGAATCCATAAAAACACACACATTAGTAATGAAATTCATTCAAACGTTATGAATTTGCACTCTGCAAGCAATTACACGCCAAGTGCACCAAAACAGCAGTAGTACAAGTACCCTTGTCTTTGATAATGACGGGTTGCTTCACTACAGCTGGCTTCAGGGTGGGCCCACCATCCAGAACTACAGGGGTTTCTAATATTGTATGGTCTGGGCCGTTGTCCTTGACTGGAATGAGGGGGGACAGTTCATCTTCAATGGTTGAAGGTACCACAGGGGCAGCAGGAGAGGAAAGGTTGGTAGCTGATGGTTTTTCAGGTTTTCCTTTAGGAGACTTTGGAACTTGTACTTTGGCCTCAGCTTTAGATTTGGTGCCTTTAGCATGGAGCTCAGGTGTAGCCAGGCTCGGGTCAGGCTTAGACTTGGCTTCGGATGGGGATGCCTTATGTTTAGCATTTTGAGCAGGAGGCTTAGGTTGGTCTTTCTTAGACTGAGTCTCTGAGTCAATTTTCTTAGACTGGACTTTAGCAGCTGCTTTTTGTTGCGGTTCAACTGGTGGAAGTGGTTCATGTGCAGATTGTATAGACTGGGCAACTGGGGCAGTTAACTCATGAACAGCTGATTTTTCGTGAACCTCAGGGGCTGCTAATTTAGCCTGGGCCTTGGGAGCAGTTGATTTAACCCTGGCTTTTGGGTCAGTTGGTTTAGCCTCGGCCACTTCTTGAGTGGATTTAGCCTCATCATCAGCTGGTTTGGCCTGGACCTCAGGGGAAGCTGGTTTGGCCTGGACCTCGGGGGAAGCTGGTTTGGCCTGGACCTCGGGGGAAGCTGGTTTGGCCTGGACCTCGGGGGAAGCTGGTTTGGCCTGAACCTCGGGGGCAGCTGGTTTGGCCTGAACCTCGGGGGCAGCTGGTTTGGCCTGGACCTCGGGGGAAGCTGGCTTGGCCTGGACCTCAGGGGAAGCTGGCTTAGCCTGGACCTCGGGGGCAGCTGGTTTAGCCTGGACCTCAGGGGCAGCTGGCTTAGCCTGGACCTCAGGGGCAGCTGGTTTAGACTGAACCTCAGGGGAAGCTGGTTTAGCCTGGACCTCAGGGGAAGCTGGCTTAGCCTGGACCTCGGGGGCAGCTGGTTTAGCCTGGACCTCGGGGGAAGCTGGCTTAGCCTGGACCTCGGGGGAAGCTGGTTTAGTCTGGACCACGGGGGCAGCTGGTTTAGCCTGGACCTCAGGGGAAGCTGGTTTAGTCTGGACCTCAGGGGAAGCTGGTTTAGTCTGGACCTCAGGGGAAGCCGGTTTAGCCTGGACCTCAGGGGCAGCTGGCTTAGCCTGGACCTCAGGGGCAGCTGGCTTAGCCTGGACCTCAGGGGCAGCTGGCTTAGCCTGGACCTCAGGGGAAGCTGGTTTAGTCTGGACCACGGGGGCAGCTGGTTTAGCCTGGACCTCAGGGGAAGCTGGTTTGGCCTGGACCTCGGGGGCAGCTGGTTTGGCCTGGACCTCAGGGGAAGCTGGTTTAGTCTGGACCTCAGGGGCAGCTGGCTCAGCCTGGACCTCAGGGGAAGCTGGTTTAGTCTGGACCTCGGGGGCAGCTGGTTTAGCCTGGACCTCAGGGGAAGCTGGTTTGGCCTGGACCTCAGGGGAAGCTGGCTTAGCCGAAGTCTCAGGGGCAGCTGGTTTAGCCTGGACCTCAGGGGAAGCTGGTTTGGCCTGGACCTCGGGGGAAGCTGGCTTAGCCTGGACCTCAGGGGCAGCTGGCTTAGCCTGGACCTCAGGGGAAGCTGGCTTAGCCGAAGTCTCAGGGGCAGCTGGTTTAGCCTGGACCTCAGGGGAAGCTGGCTTAGCCTGGACCTTGGGAATAGCTGGTTTGGCCTGGACCTCAGGGGAAGCTGGCTTAGCCTGGACCTCAGGGGCAGCTGACTTAGCCTGGACCTCAGGGGCAGCTGGCTTAGCCTGGACCTCAGGGGAAGCTGGCTTAGCCTGGACCTCAGGGGCAGCTGGCTTAGCCTGGACCTCAGGGGCAGCTGGCTTAGCCTGGACCTCAGGGGAAGCTGGCTTAGCCTGGACCTCAGGGGAAGCTGGCTTAGCCTGGACCTCAGGGGAAGCTGGTTTAGCCTCGGGGGATGCTGGTTTTGCCAGAACCAATGCTTTAGCTGGTTTAGCCTGAGCTTCAGGGGCCTGTTTTACATCACCAGTTTTAGATAGGGCATCAGGAGTTTCTAGTTTGGGCTGGGGAATAGGTATCTGATTGACCTCAACAGAAACAGCAGATGTAATGGGTGACTCAAGGGCAGAATACGCTGCTGCTGATTTAGTGTTGGCTTCTGGAGAAGCCAGTATTGGCTGATGCTGTGCAGCAATTCCTTTACATTTGCTATCTGTAAAATCAGGGGCAAGTGACTGAGGACTGGCCTCTGGGTTAGGTACATTAGCTGCAGATTGAGAAACAGGAGGCTGAATCATATCTAAATAAGACTGAGAAGTAAGAGAAGGCTCATTGACAGCAGCAGATGAAATTGCTGCGATTGACACAGGAAAGGATTCTTGAGAAGGGGAAGGGCAAGCCTGCAGAGGATCTGGCAGAGTAGCAGCTGTAAAAGTAAACAAAAGGTACGTGTTTGAGTTAAAAGTACTTTCAAACATACAATGAAGTCAACATGTGTAAGAAATACGTAACATTTATGAGAATAAATAACATGAAACATTATGACCACATTCTAATAAGTCTCACTAGCAATGATTGACACTTTTGATTACCACTACTCAATGTACCTGTATTAGCCTTTGGACAGACACGCTCAAGAGTGGACGAGGTATGTGTGGGAAAACCTCCCACTGATTTGGAGAATCCTGTCTCAGAAGTATCCTCAGCCACAATTGGCTTGGTCAGCATTGTGGGTTCAGGGAAGGCAACAGGGTCAAGAATAGGAAAAGAAGCTTGCTTAACATGATCAGCTTTACTCAAGCTAAAAGCAGACCCACTTTCTACAGTTATGCTCTCCATGGCCCTTTGTGTTTGATCCCTACACGGGGTGGAGAGGACAAGGGCAACTGGTGCCTGCTCATGCGATGAATTTCGTTCTTCGGTTGCTGCCTTTATTTTGGACACGGGCAATAACGGGCACACCATCCCAATGTGGCCTCCAAATGAACAATCAAATTCCAAATGCGTATTTTCACGATCCTTTTTCTGAACGGTGTCAATTTCAAGATCTGAATCCGACAAAGTTAGGCATGTATCATGCTCAAGTAAAATGTTATCTTGATGAAAGCTTTCATTTTGCATAGTGCTATTTGATGTGGTAGCAGTCTCTGCAGTAGTTTTACTAAGTGCATCAGGCTTAAGCTCCAAAAGCACCTGCCCAAGTTTAGCATCAACAGCACTGCATGTTTCAGGTTGTTCCTTCCCACTTATCACTGTTTGAAATGATTGATAACCAGGTTTTTTTAATTCTTCAGACAGTCCATGCACAGCTGAACATTCAAGTATTTCACTTTTGCTAAACATTTTAATATTGCACGCATCATTGTTATTCTTCTTCTCTTCTTGTGAACATCTTGCATCCCTTAGCACAGAATGTTTAAGTGACGATTGATTTTTATCAATCACAGGTACAGTTTCATAGATTTCTGCCGTAGGCGTGGTCATTAAATTGTTCACAGATGGCGAGTAATGCCATGGGTCTGTAGTTGGATTGACTTGGTCTGCCACGTTGTTATTTTTAATATCATCCACTACAGCCTTTACAAGAAATTCAGAGCAATCTAAGACGCTGTCATCTGTGTTGCATACATCCTTTTTTGCTGCATTACATGACTGAAAATCACATTCTGCAAAGTTGTCTTCAATGGCTAGAGGAACTTCATTTCCTGATATTTCCTGATTATATTCTATGTTATCCAATATGTCAACCTCGGCATCCATACTTTTGTCATCAAATGGCAATTCCTCAAGCGACGAAGACAAACGCGGTTTTGGAGAAATCACTTCATACAAACATGTGTGATCATTGCTAAAGACGGTGGAGATGTGATGATCAGATTCAATTACATCAGGCACAAGAACACCTGATTGAACAACTTGGTTTAAAGATGCTCCGCTGGCCAAAGCATCTACCAAACTCACTGGCAAACAAGTGTCTGCAGAACTTAAAATATTTTTGGCCTCATATTTTTCCCCAATTGCAATGTCTTCTCCTGTAGAACAATACATATGGTCGGTTAAATGACTAGAGATGCAACATTCTTGCGTTTCAGCTTCAGAGTCGGAAGGAAAATCGAGACTCTCTTTTTCTTCAAATGAATGATCTTCCGATAACAAAATTTCGTAATTTTCATCAGCTCCAACAGTCACAGAATATGCAGGCTTTTCAAGATGGGAAAAAGTGCAGGTAAAGACGGATTCGTCTTCCAAAGACGTTTTGTCCGAGCGATTTACTAAAGGTCTATCCAAAAAGACTGCAGAGGAGTCAACAGAACAGTCGGTGTTGCTTGATGGCACACAATGATATACAGCGTTACTAGAAGCATCAACATTAACATGACCAGCTTGAACATGTATGGTATTTATTGCAGCTGCCTCAGGCATGAAATAAGCATTACATAAAGGAATTATCTGCATTTTACTACCACTGAAAATTTCACATTTATCACAAACAGAAGTGCAAGGCAGAGTATCCGCACCCTCATGTTGATCTACAGCAAAACGCTGTACCAAAGGCATTCCGGGATCTTTTTTACATGAAAGCTGGGTGCTTCTTGAAGCAGTTGTTATGTCACAACAGTTACAATCATAATCTAATGGCTGATGGCTCGTCACATACTGACGTTTTGCTTTACGTACAACTGAATCTGGAGTTTGCGCTCCACTTCTATCTTCGGCATTGAACAAAACTTCAGAGCTGGACAACTGTCGAGATCCAAATGCTCTCTTTATAGCCTTCAATGGCCTCTTTGATCGGGGTCTTGGTGACATTATTGGCGATGAAGGTGCAGTGAAGTAAAGCTCATTTTCAAAATCACAAACTTCCAACTTCATCTCTGCAAGGGCTATAGAATGTTGCTCTGTATCACTGTCTTCAGACATTATGGAAAACGAAGAAGCAATGCTGAAAAATTCATCCTTTTCTCCATCACTTACCTGGGGAAATTCTATATCTGAAGCCACAGGAGTTTCCAACTCTGACTGTATATAATCAAAAGGAATCTCTTGGAATGCAGCACTGTGAACATCAGCCTCGTCGCCTAAACAGTACGAATTACAAGATTCTGATGATGCAGACTCATTTACATCGTATTCTTCACGTTCCATGGTGGCAAAGTCTGAAGTTTCTTCATGCTGCATGGGGCATTCTTCAGTACAACATGAGATGTGATGATGTTCCTGGCAAAAATGAGGTGCGCAACCTTCCTCTAAACCCATTGCATGAACACAACCCCCCTGGTAGAATGGAACTTTTTGTGATGCAGTTGTGCGAGTTGGTGTTAAACTTGGACAGTTGCCATCAAGTGATTCAACACATTTAATTTCACCCGCTGCTCGAGAAGCGTGACCTGTGAGAGGGTCACGCCGATCTAAAGACTCAACAGATGAACATTCGCATGCAATGTCGCCCGCGTCAGTGTCGGGCGAGTCTGAATTGTGCCTAAGCTGGGACCACGGGAACAAAATGGTCGGCATCAGAAAGGGCGAGGAAAGATGGGGGGGGTTGAGGGGCACTGGATGATGAAGGGGGTTGCATGCCTGCAACTAAACTATAAAGTGGCCTTTCTAAGCCAGAAGTATGGGCTACAGCATGCAGCAAATAAACAACAAAACAGGGAGAATTGGGTTTGTAAAACAAATTTGAACAAAAAGAGAGAAGAGGTTAGTACAAGGCCATTCATTGCCTTTTGAAATGCAAAATATATGGGCATTTTAACTTTAACGCTTCAATTCAAACTTTCCACTGTTAAAGTAGCTGTATACCAAAAGCGAATACACACAGAGAAGGGCAGTTTAATGATAGGTAAACCATTCTTCACCAGCAACTTTAAATGCTTCTTAAGTTTGGAATATTCAAACAAAAACATGGGAGTGTAAGCAATTTTTATTCTCTGCGTCAAACTCGAGCACAGACGACGATCCAACTGAAGCACTGCAAATTAATTCGATTTAAGACCAAAGTTTTTTTTTATTTAGAAAAATCACAAATGTGGTCCAATTTAACCGCACACTCACCCGATTCAACCTGAACTTCTTGCATTTGCTTAGTTTGCTGCGGCTGCTGTTCTGCAGCAAGTGCAGTTTCTGTCGTTTCGCCAGGCATTTCTAGAAATAAAAAAACAGATGTTACTCAGCATTCATCTGGGCAACTAATTACACCCCAAGAACTCTCACAGCTGCACAAAGAGAAGCACTTTTTTTCCCTCGTCTCAGCTGTCGAATGCAAATACGTTTCTACTCGTTTTCTCCCGGCTCCGTTTTCAAGGATATATTTAGCCCCGCCATGGAATGTGAATAAGATATGTAACAACTAAAAAAGTTAGGCATTCGTAAAACTGCCACATCATTGACTTAAGAAACAAACAGAAAGTGGTTCTTGGGAAGAGATAAAAACGGTATTCGAGTTACTTTTAAGCACCGCGTCAAATTTCTTTCACGGCGTTTGCCTTAAATGTATTTTCGCAATGCATCAAGTGCCGGTGGCATCATGTCCTCGCCGCTGTCACCGTATATAATTACGGCAACTGCGGGTGAACCGAATTAAGTAATCCCACACGCCCCATTAACGGGAAACCCGCGCGGTTCCTTCCACTTGGCGACGAGACGCGGGGGGTGTTGCATTACATGCGCATATTACAGGAGCGCGGCTGGTCAAGGTTACATTGTATCTCATGTCCAGATGGGATTGTAGCTACGCGTCCCACACAAGATATAAAGGACTCGCTCATCGCTACGATCCTGTCGAGGATTAATCCGTGCCGTGAGCGCATAAACGCCCATCATATCTCTCCTCTCCGCTACCACGCACGCCATCGTCTTCATGTTGTTTCAACCACATCCCAAACACTGCAATCGTCACGTTCCATAATCGACCACCAACCTCCTCCTCCAATCTCCCTCCATATTCGTCACCACCGATTTCATAACCACCTTTCAACAACTTCCAACGCCCACGACCATTCACCATCACTCACCACAACTTCACCACCACCACCACCTTCTCAATGAACATATTGACACAACACAAGCCCAGCCTCACAAATCATTGTCTAATTGTCCAGGCCACCTGGGACAAAGTATACGGGGAGCGACCGCGACAGCGGAACACGAGGGAGGCAGGAGGGGGGGGGGCAGTGGCACGAGGGAAGAAGGCAGCATCGATGAGGCCCAACGCAGGCGGCCGCCACCCACCCTGCACAACTGTCCCCAGCACCGCCGCAGAATCCGCCATGACCGAACGTGCCGGCCCTGCGGGGCGCTTCAGTGAACCGCGCCGAAAGTCACAACCACCGCCGAGACGGTGACGGGCTGCGATGGGAGCGGATGGTGACGGATTGCGTCTCAAGTCGCGGGGATCGCCAACTCACCGCGCAGCGGACCAAGTCCCTTGCCTTCACCGGCAGAAGAGAGCGCAGCTTCCGTTTCCGGGTCGTACGAGGGGTGGGAGGCGGGGGGGGTCGAGAAGGGGGCGGGGGGGGTGAGAAGGGGGCGGGGGGGGGTGAGAAGGAGGCGGGGCGGCGAGAAGGGGGCGGGGGGAGTTGAGGAGGGGGCGGGGAGTTGAGAAGAGGGCGGGGCGGCAAGAAGGAGGCGGGGCGCCGAGAAGGGGGCGGGGCGTGATGACGTGACGTCACCTCCGCCGGAGCAAGCATGGCGGCGTGTATCGGCTGCGCCAGGGGTCACTTGCAGGTACGGGGAGCACAGAGAACGCCACTCGGCTCGCTTTGCCACAAACCCCCTCCCGCCTTGCCTTGTCTGCTCCGCTCGGCTCGGCTCGCTAACGGCGCCGCAATTGGGAACTCGCTACCGGCAGCGCGGGCGCAAGCCCCGAGGTTTGCGGGCACGTGGCCGGTTTGTGGGTGAGACCGCCGGTGTCGCGGAGAGGTCCCTTGGCAGCAGCACGTGTCCTGGTGTCGTGCCGAGGACCCCAGCGCACGGAGCCTCCCCCCCACCCCCCCCTAAGGCCTCCACTGTGGGGGCCGTGGGGTTCTCTGTCTCCGTGGGGTTCCTCGTGCTGTCGCTATGCCCCACGGCTCCCCCCCCCACCCCTCTCTCGCCCTCTCTCGTATTAGTCTCTATACCTTTCCGCGTTGTCATCGTGACTCGCTCCGAGTCTCCGTTGCTCCCCGTGTATTTCTCGTAGCTTCCTCTAGAGTCGTGGTCCTCTCCCCTGGGGTTCTTGTGGTCGTCAGTTTGATGTCTTTGGGTGGCTGTGGCTCCCCCTCACGGCGTCATGCGCGCGGCTTTCCGTGACTCCCAACAATGTCCCTCTTGTTTCAAGTTTCATTTCAAGTTTCATTTATTAAGGTATAGCCCTGTGAGCCATTCGGCTCTTGAATCGGGTGCAACCGCAACAAACAAAAAAACTAAAACATGAACAAGAAAACATCTTAAAGTGACTATGTGCAAACAGAAAATCCAAGAAAAGACAGCTTACATGGGCTTTACATGGGTTCAGCTGGGCTCCCTATGGCTCTCCCACGCTTTCTCGTGATGTCCTCTGTGTCCGCGTGAGTTGCCCTGGTTTGTTGTGACGCCCTCTGCCCCTCCCCCGTAGTTCCAGATTGTAGGTTCTCTCATTAGAAGCGAAGTGACCGAAACATGCTTTGCACCGATATTGGGTTCAGTCCGAAGAGCAGACATATTTCTAGATGATTCTAAATATTACCATTTTAATGCGAGATGTAGGCACACATCGCATTTATAAGTAGTACACGTTACATGACGCCACCACAGGAACTAAGTCTAATTGTGAATTCGTTCGTGTTGTGGTCAGGTTGCATTTGGTAGTGATGAAATGCAGTGCCCGATTCCCCTGCGTTTCAATTCACTGGTTGGAAATACAATTTAAATGCAAGCTGTTCAAAAACATATTGCCACAATACAGTATGGTTGTTGACCTTATTCTAAGAAGCAATCTTAAGCTCAACTTTAATGCATTTGTAAGGGTTTGTCTCAGTACTGTAATAGTAATGTTCAATTACTGTACTAAAATGTTATAATGCAAACGACAGTGAGATGCTGCACAGCCTTAAAATTGTATCTTTTTTTTCTAAGTTTATGGCAACATTGTGTTTGTTAGCCTTTTTGTAACCATGTCAAATCATATAGCTATAGCTGGTTTATACTGGAGTGAATTCAATGACCTGTCACTGGAATAAACTGAGATATAATTTCAGGAGTGCGTTTGATTTGCAAGCCATGTGCCTCCCACCCTATTTGTGCCATTTCTCCAACAGATTTGAGCATTGCAGGAGGCTTTACCACAACCAATAAGATACCAAATTATCGACCCTGTGCCTCTGCAATGTCTCTGTGCCTAATGAACCAAGCTGCCAGAATATCGGTCCAGGGTTTGAATCCCATGAGAGCCTCCTTAGCCCTCCTTCGGGTCCAGCGACATCACAGCTCGGTGCTCAGAAACCTTAAGAGAATTGAAGCAGTTTGTCAAAGAAACACGTCCTGTGGGAACATCAGAGCGTACAAATGGGCACACACAACTGTTGCTATTGGTGAGCCACAGAATGAAGATTCTTTGGGGAAGAAGGAAGCGGCTCAGGATGATGTTGGAGAGCAGTTGGAGGAGGAGGATGATTCTTCGAAACGTCAAGAAAGCAAGAGACAAGCGCCTCGTACGGTGGAGCAACTTCTTGCGCTGGGCAACACCAAGGACCTAATTCCATGGCAAGCGGCAGAGGCTGTGTCACAGCTAGGCCTAGCTGTTGGAAGAGATCGGATCTTGAAAGAGCAAGTCACGAGTGACCCTCGCCTCCAGTATCTTCTTAAAGCTGCTGAAAGCCAGGTACATTTTTCTTGCCATTTCATTCCATAAAGGTTTTGTTGTATGGCTTTAAACAATTTGAAAAAGTTAAAAATACACTTCCTGGTTGTGTTTGATACATGGGTCAGTAAAATGAATGTACATTTTCTCAAGAATTTATTTTTCGTTTGCACATTGGTTATTTCGTTTAAAATAATTTCTAACAATTTGTTTAGATGTAAAATGAGGAGAGTGGTCTTGAAAATTACGAAAAGGTGTAATAAGTCCTTGTTTTTATCGACAGATATCCTCCATTGGGAACAGCTTGCTGCTGGGTATGCTGCGCAGTCTGCAACTTCTTTTGAACAGTGAAAAAAAGGAAACTGGCTCTGAAAGAAAAGGCAAAACCGAACAGATTATCCGCTCTTTAGAGACGGAGCTGCACTTCCGATTGCGTCGTTTAAATTTTAAGGTAAGAGTTTCTGAGGCGTTTTCTTGCACAATATATTGCACCAAGTATTGCTCTATTTCAATGCATTATGTATGTATGTTGAACTTCTTTCGCACCATACCTAGCCAACTGCTAGGTGCTAATCAGAAAGACAACAAACTAAAAGCGGTTCTACAAGAAATTCGTTTTCAATCTATATTTAAAAGTACATTGCTCCAGTGGCTTCACAATAATCAGCATTAGTTCCGATAAATTGCACGAGGAAATTATATCCTTGTTCATGTCGAATGGTTGTTTTTTTCTGTTTGGTGGGATGCAGCAACTTTGCACGGCAGCAGTAATATACTCGAGGAAGGCAGATTCAGAAGCTCAGAAGGCGCTGTGGACAGATTTGGTGAAACACATCGAGCTTCGCTGGACCGAGATCCCCGACGCACGCACGGTCACCCTGCTCGTTACACGCATTGGCAGTATTTCGCCCGTTTTCATGGAAAAGCTCGAAGAGAAGGTGAGGCCTTTGCTGAAATAGTTTGTGTTACTGTAGCCATCCGATTTGTTTTCGGGTTGAACAGCATGTTCAGCGTGTTGTTCATGGTTGTCCGACGCCTCACTCGGCGTGCTGGGAGCTCTTCGGGGAACTGGACTGAACTCTGTTCGGTTCCTCAGCACGTGCGGCGAAGCGTCGGCCGTCATGCTTAACAACACAGTACAACCCAAAACATGAGAGAGCTGTA